GTTTAATTCTGTCTGTAGAGGGCGCCACAAGCGCGCAGATTTAACTGCCTGCAGGAATTTCTCTGAAGATATAATAAATGTTTTTCCAGTTCAATTGTAGAAGTAGCTCCAACTCAACCTGTTTTGTTTTGTTGTGCTTTTTTTCCTAGATATTGATCCAAACAACATCTTTAGGGCTTTCTTTGGTGGCCATGGTGGAGGATTCAGTTTCGATTCCAGCCCTGGTATGTTTTTTTGTTGTTTGTTTTGGTTTTGTTTTTTTTAGGTTTGAGTAACCATAAAACAGATCAAGTAGTTACTCCCTGTTTAATTTTTTTTCCTCTCTTTTTCCACAGACTCAGGACCAGGAAATTTCTTTTTCCAGTTTGGTTAACGTAAATGAGCACGAGTGGAAGGGAAACCTCTCCTTGCAATGTAGATAAATGTGGACCCAGTCACCTTGTGATACTCATACTCCTGAGTGTGTTGAAGTATCTGCCCACTGATCTTTTAATTAGCATTTTTTTATTATTATTATTATTATTATTATTGCACCCAATTCTCCAATTACTCCCTCCGCAGATGCTGAGAAACTCTGGAAAAAGTAAATTATAGGTTGTGGTTTTGTGAATTATTAACAGAGGCACTTGAATCTTTGAAGATTTTTGTAAAAGCTCACATTAGCATGTTGCAGTTTCTAATATTGACCTTGTGTTACATGTGTTTGAGATTTTAAAACTGCCTCAGGCTTTATTAGGCTGGTCAGGGATGAGTGTGGATTGTTGGGATTAGTTTGAAAATGCTAAAAGCGGTGTAAATGTTTAGGTTTTCCAGTTGATATCTCTCCCAGTCTGACCTCAGGGCGTCTGGAAGCCATCACCGTTCCTGGATTTTAAATGGCTTTATTGCCAAAACTTTTTCCCTTTTCATTTTTTTTTTTTTTTATGTTGCATCTTATATATTTGACTCAGAATGTAATCCAGTGCATTTTCCTGTGTCTTTCCTCAGTGTTGATATTTATTACACATGCATCAGAATCCCTGAGGATCCCGTCTTCCTGTTTTTTGTTTATTTTTTTTTAGCATCAAACTTTTTTGTCTTTTTTTTCCCCCCCCCCCTGCGTTTTTTTTTTTTTTTTTTTTTTGAGATGAGCCAAAATAAATACCACCCCCCATGCAAATCAATATAAGCCATTCCTATTTCATCCATCAGTCCTTCTGTCTCGGTTAAATTTAAGTGGTGCCTTATCAGGATTAGTTAAAGGTCACAGACCTAACCCCTCAGCTAACCACTTAGTGTCTGAAATCATCCAGCTCTAACATGTTTTAGTGTTTGTTTGGGGGGGGCAAAACTAGATTTTGCACATAAAGTCTTCATGCTGTTAAAGTGAAAGATCTGAGGGTTTGGTTTCATGCCATTGCTCACCGTCATTCTCCAGCAGAGTACCTGTCATGCACGTTTGTTCAGTGCAACCCTTCCCTTACCGGTTCCACCTGTTTGGACTGGTGTTAATGGTAGGTTTAAGTCTTTTTTTTTTGCCACCAGTCTTTGTATAATTTCATATAATTGTTTTGTTTTTCTTTTAATTTTTGAAATAAAAGGTCGTCTTTTACTGTAAATTTGGACTTTGTCTCAATTTCTGTCATAGTTTTAAACTGTTTTCTTTTTTTGTAGATTTAAGTAATAAAACAGTTGCCTTGCATGTGTCAATATAATATAATATACCCCTGTTTAAAATTAGTAAAGTTTAAAATAACCATGGCTTTAACTTTGATGCATATGCAAATTTAACTTAATATATTAAAGCAAAACATTCTGAAAGGTGAATTGGATTTTTATTATCACTCCTCAGAAAGAAAACGCACACCTTTACTGGATGAGCTAACAGTTTTACTGCCTAAAGTTTTAATAGTGTAAGCATTTTAACAAAAACTAAAGTTCAAACGTACGGCCATTGCTTCTAAATTTCTTTTCATCTGAGTAACATCAATCAGTTCATGACACGTGTGTGCTGGTATTTCAGTCGAGAATAACTGGATGACAGTCCCCAGTTCTCTGCATTTCTTGCTTTATTCCTCAGAAACTGCTGAGTTGGCCATTCTAAAGTAGACCATGTCTTTGTTTTGTGGAGACATTCAGTTTAAAAGTATTTTCTTATTGCAGCATGACTTCCATTTGGTTTATTTAATTAAACGATATTAAGATTCCGGATATGAAATGGGCATGAAGCCATATTTTGAAAAGTTTCCTCCCACCAGGACACCTGAGCTACAATAGTTCCTTGGGTAAAGTGGCTTAAATTCAATGATTAGGGGTTACCTGGTCTGCAGCCTCTAAAGCCAAGGAAAAAATAAACTCAGGTCAACAAATGTAGCTTTCTCTTTTCATTCTGTTTCATGGTGAATTATAGGCTCAAGCACACAGTTTGCAGTGATGGGACTATAATCTGAAAACACTTTGTTTTCCTTCCCATCAATTAACCTTTTTTGTAGTGAGCAGATATTTTTTGACTCACTTTACTCACATATTCTTAGAAAAGGACTTTAACCAACATCTACCAGCCTTCCTCCTAAACAGCACCTGATTGCCTTTGGTGATTAAATTCCACACTGCTTTTAATGCACCTCTTTTGATGATTCAGTTAAACAGAATTGGCAGCATGACTGTAATCTCCAAAGCAGGCTTAAGGCAGGAGCACATTGGGCGTCTCCCATAAATACTTGAAGTTTAACAGATTATCAATCAAAAATTGTTATATAAACAGAGAGAGGATACTATGAAATCTGTTTTCATGGTAGATTAAAGTTAAAAAAATAAATAAATAAAGGAATTGTTAAGTTTACTTAATAAAAGATAAAATAGAACTTTTTTTATGATTATGTTACAATCTGATATTAGGAAGCTGTTTGTTTCTCTTTTAAATCTTGTTTAGTTAAAAAATTCAGGAAATGATGAACAATTATTTCTGTTTTCTTCTAAGCTAAGCCAATTCAAGTGGGCCCCCTCTGAAATTATTAATATTGTGGGGGAAAAAAAGTAAATACAAAGTTTTCAGAGAGAAAGAGACCAAAGAGATCTTTAATGTATAATTAAAATTATGGAAATAAAAGATCAATATACACTGCAACCCTTGAGTGTATAAAGAAATTATAAGACATTATCATACATAACATAAAAACAGATGAGAAAAAAAAATAACCTGTATGTATTTTGTATTTTGGCATTGAAAATTAACACAATGTATATGTAATCATGCAAAAATTTATTAGGTTACCTTTCCTTTAAAAAAAAAAAACTTATACACTTTCAATGAGGAAGCTGTCGCATTGTCACTATTTTTAGATTGTATTACATTTGTTCACCGAATTTAGACAAAGGTGAATATAAATAAAACACAAAGTCCTTACAAAGTGGGTCACCTCCTTTTTTTCATATTTATTTACCTTCCACTGATAATTTTGAATTTCAAAGTTAATGTTTGTAATTAATGATGGCCTGCGTGGAACTCACGTCACCACGTGACCTTCATTGAGCCAATCAGAGGCGGGCACAGACGTGTAATCGGTGGGCAGATTATGGTGCGACAGGAGGAGAGTGAGGCGGTTAGAGCTGCTAGCTGAAACTGTCTCCGGCTATAAGGCGAACTGACAGGAAAAGCTGCCTTAGTTGGTCCAGAGGCTTGAATCCTTCACTCCAAAGAGGTGTAACGTTTATTCACAAGGTAATTACTGCTGACTGGTTATTTTACAAACGCAACCTTTTGCTTTAATTTAGTAGTTTATGCTAGCTAGCCTGCCTGCACTTGAGGTTGTATGAATTAGGATGCTGAGAAGTTTGAAAGAGAACCAGACTCAATGACACGAACAGAGATCCAGTGTTTGGTCCTTTTTATTGGTATTTTGAGGTTTAAAGCGGAAAGTAAAAAGCCAATTGCTCACATTTGCAGCTAAAGCAAGCCAACCAGATCTAAGAGATATTCCTCAAACGACAGCTTCTGTTTTTTTTTTCTTTCTTTCTTTTTTTATTAACTGACAGTAGCTTTCGTAGCTTATTCAGTTGTGAACTTGTATTAGAAAGGCTAAATTGGTCGCTGGACTTGCCTGGCTGCCTTGTGAGTCAGTGGAGTGGGTGTGGTAGACCGTACAGGAGCCACCTCAGTGAAGTTGGTTTTAAGTTGGCTATTCGATAGAAATTCGCTCGCGTTTACCCTCTTTTTGGCTCCGTTTAAACCTTTTATTTGCTCCGGTTAAACCTCTTCTTCGCTCCGGGTACTCTGCGATCACAGAAAACCGCTCCAGTACCACAAGTGCACCCGTATTATAGAGTTTACAGTAAAAGAAAAAAGTGCTGAAAGAAAACCGCTACAGCGCGTATTGACTTCCGGTTTTCAAAATAAACGTGTACTTTCTAATGCTTGGAAGCTATTAAGCTAAAATTAAGAACTATTTAAAAATGTGTAGGGTTTTCAAATCCAAAAAATAAAAAAGGGGAATTTTTAAGCTGTTGAAGTACTATGATCTCACAGGGATTGTGAATCCATTGATCACATGACCTGGAAGCTCTTGAGCGAAAATACAATTATTTTCATTAAAAATAAAATGTGTGTAAGGAGAAAACAAAACAAAACAAAAACAATTATAATAATAATAATAATCAATCAAGGGAAGTAACATTGCCCTGTCTGGCAAGATTGTCCACAGATACCATGTTCAAGCATAAGGATGTCCATCGGTGCACCTGACACAAGGAGAAGGGTGGAACTGTAACTGATCAACACCTAGTGGTGAGTTGAATATGCAGAAAGGGAAGGATGCTGGACAGACTTGGCGGGCCCAAGTGAATAGTGAGGGTCTGCTTGTCTGGTGGAGCCCTTGGTCAGGGAGGTGCCTCCAGCAGAGCTTCACCCCGATTGCTGGGGAGGCTTGGTAGGCCATGTTTTCTGCGTCGATAGCCATGACCGTAAGGTCTCCGGCGCTTGTTGTGGTGGCAATTCCCCAACCTAGTGATGGACACCAGCATTAAGGGATGCTGTCAAGCTGAAGGAGTCTCAACAAACCTTGCTGGCTTGTGGGGATTTGGTGGAATTTAGAGAGGCAATGGAAAAAGATTATTGGTTTTCCTTAGGTGTTCTTGCAAACTATCCAGTGCCTCTTTAAGGGAAAGCAGTAGTTTGCTAAGTCTGTTTCCAGTGGAAGTCCCAGGCGACCAGTATGACTGTTTAGTATTTATTTATTTTTACTTTTAAAATTTGCTCTCTTTTTATGAATTTTTATATAAAATTATCATTTTGTTCAACAGCTTCCAGGTCAAGTAATCGATTCACCCAAAAACAGTGTGGGAGCATAAAACCCCACTGGCTTCAAAAGTTAGACTTTTCATTTTTAGATTTTAAATCTTTAATTATTTTTTATTAATTTTTTACATCAAAATATTACCATTTTAGATCAATAGCTTATATGTCATGTAATCAACTGGGATCATGAGATACACCTTTAATTTTTGCATTTAAAATTTTCTAACTATTAAAAAAAAAATTATATATATATATATATATATATATATATATATATATATATGTATATGTATGAACATTTTAGCTCGATAACTTCTCAGCTTCAAAAAGTACACTTTTATTTTGAAAACAGGAAGCCGTTACACGCTTTAGAAGTTGTTTTTTTTTACTGTAAAGTCTGTAATAAGGGTGCAGTTGAAATACTGGAGCGGCTTCTACCAGTCGCAAATTTACTCGGACCGAAGAAGAGGTTTAAACGGAGCTAAGAAGATGTTTTAACTGCAGCAAATGTCTGTTGAATTTCCATATTATAACTTCCCTGCGCTCAGGAGCCTCATTCATAAGCCCTCACTGTTCGTGATGCAGCTGGAGAAGAAGCACTGAGGCATCCATGAGTTTCAGGCACTGACCCTCTCTTCTTCTATGGTTTCTACCCCAGAAAAAAAAGGACAGATTTCACAGCTTAGTAGTTTTAGACAATAGTCTGACACTGATTATGTTGGGTTTGAAAACTGGGTCATCTGTCCTTTATAGTTGGACAGTTTAATGGTTAAATACTTAACAGAAGTAATTTTCTTTAGGTTAAAATTACCCCAACTTACTCTTAAAGAAGCTCCTATTAAGTCATCATAAAATATTACCAGTGACACAGAAGCTGAATTTATTTAAGTAGGTCATAAAAACTTCCTGGTAAGTGTTGGACTAGTTTAAACTTTTTTTAGACTTTGCCCTGCTAGTCACCAAATGATGTCATTAAATTGGAGCAGTAAACTTGAGGAACTGGGCCTAAAGCAGTCTGTATCACTGCCTGTTGGTTTGTCTGGCCAAACGGGAGAGGTTGGATATGCTGCTGATGAAAACTGGAATCTCAAGGCAAAATGTTTCGTTTTGGGGGAGTAATGATCATCTCCTTCATGATGTGAGATTATTTCTTCATCGGGGTGATCAAAATGTTTAATTTCAGGAGGGGAAAGGTTCAAATAAATTTATTGGAGTAAGATATTTCAGTGGATTATAATTTGGACTTCTATTTTATGCCCACTTTTTTTCCAACTTTACCACTATTTCATACCCTTAAAGAAATCAATCTGTTCCCATATATTCCAGCTGTTTCAATTTAGTTTATTTCTTTATATTAGTAGTCAACATAAGAAAAAATCAAATATTATTTATACATTAATAAAAATACCTAGTTTCTGAAAGTGATGTTATTACATCTTGTTTTCATGGATTTTTAGAACTGATCCCCATTTAGGCATGAAATAAGACGGATTGCGAGCCCTGATCAAATAGAAATAGTCAAGCAACCTCCTGCTGCCTTTTTGGAGACAGAAAAAATAAATGATTAAGTTATTTATTAGATTATTCAAAGTTGCACTAAACCAGTTTTTCAATTTTGTTGCAATGGGCCTCAAGTCCAGATTAATGCTTTGCTGCTTTTGTTGGAGGAAAAAAAGCTGACATTGTATTTTTTTTTTTCTTATCTTTTATAGTGGTATGAGTGTTTCAAATGATAAAAGACCCAATTTCCTGTTTTATTTTAATTCTTATATCAGGAGGAAGGCTTGGAGGATATGCTGCAATAGATCAAATCTAGGTGGCTTGCTACAGTGTCAATAGCAAAGCATAGGATTTATAGTTGAGACATAAATTACTACAGTAATGTAAGACATTCAAATAAGAAGATATAAGGTCTGTAAGAACAGGAGATTGTTGTTTTCAACAGGATGTAAATGTACTGTTGTGCTGCTTAAACTTTTAAAGTTGTGTTTTATGCACTTGTCAGTTTGTCTGAACTAAGAAAAAAAACTTTTCCAATTAAAACATAAAATTCTTGGTTAATTGAATCCCCTAATTTGACCTTTTTGTCAGAATTTGGGGGACAATCTATATTTTCCATGTTTTATTTGCTCATTTTCATCACAGTTTTTTTTTTTTTTTTTTAAATAAGCCTCAGGCTTTAAGTATTCTCATACAACCATCTTAGTTTAGTCAGTGGATTTTCTGTGGGCTAAAACATTCTTCTAGTTGAAATATGGCAATAATACTTCCTGGTTTTAAAATGAGGGCAGTTTAATTGCCTCCTGAAACCCGACAATTAATTTTCATCCTTTAATAAGAGACATGATGCAAACATAGTCATCACAATCTATAGTAGTCCCGCTGTCCTGTAAAAGGCTTTCCACTGATGCCACATTTGTAGGGGTTATTCTAATGGAATAAAACAGAAGACAAACAAAATTCAGTTCTCATAATAACTTGTCCAGAAGCTAGCAGGTTTTATAAATATTTAGGGTTTCTCTGACTGTTTAAATGAGTGTTAAAAATGTTTGGTCTGATGCCTACAGTTTGTCCTTTTATTGAGATATCAGAAAATACAGTTTTGTTTTTTTTTTTGTTTTTTTTTTTATAAAGAGACACTGTGTGGCCCCTTCCCCATATGTTGCCGTGCATCCTGAGTCATGTGACTAAAAGAAAGACCCTCATTCTTTAGGGAGTGGGGGTCAGCTTGTACTACCAGGGAATCATTATGGGACTTAGGTCTTGATTGTCCTCCCAAAGTAACAGTGTATGGGGCTTTCAGCCTTCTTTGGGTGCTCTACAGTAACCATCAGGCTTTAACACTCTGAGGGCAAAAATAAGGAGAACCTGTAGATGCATTTAAGAATTTGCCGCCTATAGTGAATAAAGATGCATAGAGAATGAAACATTTGAAAGCTCTGCAAACTGCTAAGCTTTCTGCAGCATTTAAATTTTAACTATCAGTGGGACACTGTAGTGTAAATGCTGATTTATTAGCTTTAATTTGAGAACACTTGAACTATACTTTGTGGATTTAAAGGCTCCGCTCAGTTTTGTTGTACTTCTGAATTCTATTTGCACAGAAATTCTATTAGTATTGATTTTTTTTTTTTTTATTTAGAGACTTGGTATCTGATAGAGTGACAATGTTTGGGTTTTTTTCACAGTTGAAAATATCTAATTCTCTGCAAACTTAGTAGTTTTTATTCTTTCCCCCTCCTATAGGTCCTCTGCTGTCCGACGATACAATGTCTGCGAAAGCCATATCAGAGCAGACGGGGAAGGAGTTCCTGTACAAATACATTTCCACATCAGCTCCCGTTCAGAACAGTTTACGCTATGCTAACGTAACCCCAGAGACCGACTGGGCCCGTCTCACACAGGAACACCCATGGCTGCTGACTGAGGTAAGCTCACTCCTCACAAGTTCAAGAGCCTTCTTCTTTTCTGTTTCGTCAGCTATTAAAGTCACAAGGCTCCCTCAATCTCGTGTCCATAATTTACAGGACTTTAAGCCAGTTTGTGTATAAACACATTTCATTCTGTTGGAATGAAGCACTTAGAGACTTGTTTGTTTATTTATTTATATATATATATATATATATATATATATATATATGCACACACACAAGATGGTTCACAATTGTTCATACAGGTCTAGTGACTTGATGTACCTTTTCTTTGATGATACTTGTTCTTCCTGCAGCGGCTGGTGGTGAAGCCGGATCAGCTGATTAAACGGCGTGGGAAGCTGGGACTGGTGGGCATCAACCTGGACCTCCAGGGAGTCAAAGAATGGCTGAAAGGTCACCTTATGAAAGAAACCACAGTGAGTCAGTTCTTCTGTCTGCTTTGCATCGATGATAAACTAACTTAATGTTTGCATTTTTTGGCTATAATTAAAAATACAGGAAATCCATCATGAGGATTAATGAATGAAATATTCTGATTAGACTGGTTGGATTGCTTTTAGCTGGTTTCAGTTTATCTTTTGGAGGCATTATATTCAGAATAGTTTAACCCTCCTGACATGAGCAACCTTTCATTTTATAATGGGAACAGAGGTGAAGTCACACTATATAAGTGAAATGTATTTTTAAATGATTAGAGTTGGTATCCTAGGCTGTCTAATAAAAGGGATAAACATGGTAGCATTAATAAATTCCTTAGATTGTAGATCCTTACATTAAACTTTTTTGACCCAGTATTAGCTTTATTTGAGATATATTAAAGGATTTTTTGTCTCTATTCAGACAATGGTCTATTCTAATCCACCAGAAACTTGGATAAGCCATACTGCCCTTCACTGAACTCCAAGCTAACTTAAGAATCTCACGTCTCCTGCTTCCTTTCAAAGCATAGAGTGCTACTTCCTGAACGTGTTTAATTGACTTACTTTCTAGCTAGGTTGAACTAACTGAAATGTTTCTGTCTTTAATAGGTGGGAAGGGCAAAAGGTGTGTTGAGGAACTTCCTTATTGAGCCATTTGTTCCACATGCACAGGTAATTAATGCTGGTTACTCTGAATACCAAATCATGCTTATTTTCACAGATGAAAGTGCTTAAGAAGATGCGTACAGAAAAACGTGCATATATATATATATATATATATATATATATATATATATATATATATATATAACCAATTAGTACATTCGTATCTGTATATACTTTATTTACTTTAAACTGAACAAACGGCTAATTATGCTACAAATGTCTATATGCACCGTCACACCGTGTCTAAACACAGGTTTAATGTGTTTTTCTTCACATTTAACTCGTTCAGGATGAAGAGTTTTATGTGTGCATCTACGCCACACGTGAGGGTGACCAGGTACTTTTCCACCACGAAGGTGGAGTGGAGGTGGGTGATGTGGACTCCAAGGCCCAGAAGCTGATGGTCGCCGTGAACGACAAACTGAGTGACGCCCAAGTCAAAGAGCAGCTCCTCACACACGTTTCTGATGAGAAGAAGGAGTACGGAGTCTTTATGTTTGCTTCCAGTTTATATCTAATGCCAAAGTTTATTTTGTGGGCAGGAGGGGATTCTGGACCAATGCAGAGTTCTAGTTAGATTACTATTCTGATACTAAGCACAGCTAAACTTAAACTTCATGCTTTAGCTATTTCCTTCCTTTTTTGCATTTCTTCCTTTTTGCTTTAGAGACACTTCCTTTTAAAGAAAAGATATCCTTTTTGTCTACATCTATCTCAGGAACATGACATGTAGTATATCTTGAATGAGATGGGATATATTTTTTGGTCAAAAATGTATTTTTCATTCTGATAAGCGGATTATTATCTCATACACGCAATGTTTAACTGATCATGACTTTATTCCATCTCACAGGGTCTTAGCCAATTTTATTGTGGGGCTCTTCAACTTGTATGAGGACCTCTACTTCACCTACCTGGAGATCAACCCACTTGGTAAAGATCTTTTATCTGCAGCTTTGCTATTAACCTATTTGATCCCTCAGTAGTATGGACCAAATGGGTTATTAATTCATTCATTAATCTAGATTATCTGTGACAGTTGGTGAACACGTATTCATATAAGAAAATCTACTTTCCTCCCCTAACCAGTGCTTACAAAGGATGGAGTGTACGTCCTCGACATGGCAGCCAAGATTGACGCTACAGCAGATTTTATCTGCAAGGCCAAGTGGGGTGATGTGGAATTTCCTCCACCGTTTGGCAGAGAGGCCTATCCAGAGGTGAGGTCACCGTTCTTCTATTCCTTGGGTCATTTCATTGCTTTAATTTCATTGTTTATAAATCATGATTTAGCTAGTGAGTTATATAATGTCAGGTGCTTATTTGATCCGTTTAATTTTAAAACCTTTATCTCTAGTCTTACCCCTCGATACCTGATGACTGTAATTTTAGGAAGCCTACATCGCAGATCTGGATGCAAAGAGTGGTGCTAGTCTGAAGCTGACCCTGCTGAACCCACAAGGCAGGATCTGGACCATGGTGGCTGGAGGAGGTGCCTCAGTGGTCTACAGGTAGCTCAGTGAATTTAAATACTTTACAAACTCATGTTTATCTCCAGGTAGAACTGCTTTAACCACCTTAGGTAGAAACACACACAGCTCTTCATGTTTTACATTGTGTCCTTGCCATAAAAGGGAAAACACCCAAAGCTTGTATGACAAGTTTTGAACTTGCAAACATCGCTTTGAAATTGTCGGCTGTGTCTGAACGTCCGCCCTAATCCCAAAATCCCTCAATCACTAAATAGAGCGGGGACTATAAAGTGGACTTTATAGTGAACTCAGTTAACTGACAGATGATCATTACTTTTTGCTCTCCGTTAGTCACGTAACTCCACCGCCCCTCACGGTGCCTGCACCATCTTTATTAGTCGTAGCAACAGCAGGCTGCTCACAAAGCCCTTGTTTTTCCCCTAATTATTTTTCCCTTAATAAGTAACCTAAAGCTCCACTTCAATTAAGACTCTGACCTACTACTGTTGTATTTTAGCGACACAATCTGTGACCTTGGTGGTGTGGACGAGCTGGCAAACTATGGAGAGTATTCTGGTGCACCGAGTGAACAGCAGACCTATGATTACGCAAAAACCATCCTGTCTCTAATGACACGTGAGAAACATCCTCAAGGTGAGAACAGACAAAACATTATTTATTTATTTTTTTTGTGTGTGTGTGTTTGGGTTAAATCGGCTTCCATCAGAACTTTGACTGAATTTAGCCTTTTTAAATCAAAGCTGAATACTCAGACTGGCTTTTAATACATAGAAATGTTGCCTCTTCTGGTTTTATCAACTTATTTTTAACGGATTAGTTTTTGTTTTATTCTTTCATTTATAATTTGATCTTTCAATCTCTTTGGCCATAAATACTGTGGATTGGAAACAGTGTATTTTAAATGATTAACTTCTTGATGTGGAACCTATTTTCTGCCATTATGCCTGTTTTGCTATAATGTAATATTTCCAATATCGACGACATGGATGCTGCTGATATCTGAATTTTACTTGAGATTACACCAAAATCTTTCTTTCTTTTTCCCGACAGGAAAAGTGCTGATCATAGGAGGAAGTATTGCAAACTTCACCAACGTAGCAGCTACCTTCAAGGTAAAAAATGCTAACTTGAATAGGAAATATTGCTTATTTGAATTCTGAAGGAAGTCTCTTATTAAAAAAAAGAAAAATGGATTTTTATATAATATGGTAAGCTATTTCCCTTCACTTTATAAGTAGGTTCCTTTTTGTGTTTGTTAAAATTATATCTGTTTGAGGCAATAATGTTGAAAGGTGATAAAAAGAGAAAGATATAATATTAATGACTTGGCATTATTTTAATATTGATTTCCTTTCTGAAATGTAAAGTTGAGTGTTTAGATCTTCAGGTAGTAACATGTTTCTTGCTCTTGAATTTGAAGAGCTATATGTGGCTGTAAAAATTATGACTATATTCCTTAGTGCTTTGCAGCAGATAGAAGTTAATCTTTCAAGATCTCTGCTCAAATATATTTATTAGCAATAATTGAAACTATATAGGTCCTTTTGTTTCAAAGCAGATTTCACCTTAAGATATATTTTAGTGCTTCATATTGGCTCCCTGTTTCTACCCTCAGGGCATCGTCAGGGCCATTAAAGATTACCAAGGTCCTCTAAAGGAGCATGAGGTCACCATATTTGTGCGGCGAGGTGGACCCAACTATCAGGAAGGGCTGAGGGTGATGGGGGAAGTAGGTGAGTGAAATTCTTTAAGGATATCTGCATTATGTCAAGTTTGGAACATTTTACTGTATGCATTCAGCTGTTAAACAACTGATCGTATTGTTCTTTTTTTAGTTTTATTTAAACCAAACTTTTTTTTATTTATTTTGTATAGGAAAAACAACAGGCATTCCTATTTATGTGTTTGGAACTGAGACCCACATGACGGCCATCGTTGGTATGGCGTTGGGCCACCGAGAAATCCCCAATCTGCCTCCAGTTGCCGCCCACACTGCCAACTTTCTCCTCAATGCCAGCAACAGTGCAGCGGTACATTCATTTGAAATGTCTTTACTTCCTAGTGCAGTAACCATTAGATGGCTCGGGGTTTTTTTGTTGTTTTTTTTTTTTTTTTTTAAAGAGTTGAAATCATTAATTATTAACAATCTGTATCTGATGATTAATAAAATCAGAACCATGTAAATATTTACAACATAAGCACCTTTATGATGCAGAAAAATCTTGGACTTTAATACATCAGTATTACATAGTCGGCATTTGTATTATGATTGTGTTTTACCTAAATTTATCACCAAAAACATTCTGGATGCTGCTGTATCTTCTATTTTCTCCCATTCAGCATAGAGGCAGTCAGGGCCGTCACCAGGATTTTTAAATACCGAGGTCAAATATTGCGATAAATCTTACTTGACAAAAAACATCCTAATATGGTGCCTTTTTAAAATATTTCATTCTATTATTTTGCCCCGTGTGCCTCAGTAGTTTTAAGTAGGCTCCGACTGTAAATCGAAATCCTAGTGACAGTTGCTTGAAATGCTTGCTGAGGACGATAAGCATCCTTTTCCTAGTCCTGCTTTGAATGATATATTTACTGGTGAAATGAACTCACCTCCTTCTCTCTTTCTTTTCCCCTGATCTGTTGGCTTTCCAAAGCTGAGTTTAGTTTGTTTCAGTGTAGATTTCTTCATCTTGCCTCCATTTCCAGATCCCACCACTAAAAACTGGTAGCCTATTCTATCTCATGGTGTTCAGACCGTGGGCGGCTGACTTACGCGAAGTAGCTATGTAATATAATAGAATGCAATGTCGGATGCAATTTCCATTCAGTTTTAAAATAACGTGATTTTACATGGTGATTGTGGATTTTATTTTTTAAACAAATGAGAATGCATGCTGAGCTTTACACCAATCAAAGTCAGAACAATTTTCATCATATAGATTGACATTTCCCTGAATTAAAAAAAAAAAATAATAATAATAATTAAAAAAAACGGGAAAATACAGAGGACACGACTTCGGTGTTCTCAATCCTGGTTACAGGGCTGGAGGCAGTTATTTTAGGATGTTTATTAATGCTCAGAGTTTCAGTTAAATACTTTTTTTTCAAAGGTATATTCATGATGATTTCATCTGCTGCAGTTAATACTGCCACCATGTTTGTTTTCAGTTTTAACTCTTTGTTAATCTGACTTCATTGTGTTCACAGTTAATGATTTACTGGAGAAAAAAAAATTCAGAAAACGAGTTCTGCTTAATAAATTGAGCTCCTAGATTTAAATGTCGTAAATTTTAATGATTGGTGTTTTAGCTGCACTTATTCCTGAAACTGAAGCAGCCAGTGCTGTCTCTCCTTCACCGTAAATTACTGTTCTTAGATTTGCAAACAGTTTACACAAGATTAGGAGTTGTTTATTTAGAGATTTACCAAATAAATTTCAGCAGCTGTCTTTGCTGACAGTAGATATGAATTCCAGCACTTAGAATTTAATCTTGGTCTTCGATGCAAGTTGTTTTTAAAATACCCTGACTGGGAACCTGAGAAGATATTTGGATATTTTCATGTAGAAAAAGGCTCTTAGGTTTTAATTCAGGTATTTCCAGGATATAAATCCGGTCCTGCAAGTTTAATCGTTAACCGGTTTCCTTCTATAAACCGGTTTGTGCAGCTTTGCTCTGTCCGAACAAGAACAGACTTGTTAAATATTAAGTGATCTTCCTTTTATTTATCTAAATCATGAGATCTTTGGACAGTTAACCTTTTTCCATGTATCTTCTATAAACTGAAGGAATTCATAAATCTTGTAGTTTTCCATGAGGTCTCCTCTTTTGCTGCTCTTTTAACCAGTTTGCTCTAGTTGCATTAAGTGTTTGTTTCTCCTGTTATCTGGCAGACTCCAGCTTCAACTAGAACGGCTTCGTTCTCTGAACCTAAAGCTACAAATGACGTCATCCCGCCTAAGAAGTCAAAAGCAGGTCTTCCACCAGGTGATACACTCCCCACTTATGAATCCCCTCTAGTTTGTCTAGAATTTGTTTTGCATTTCTGCTTCTTTTTTTTTTCCTTTACCCTTCCTTTTTCCTGCAAATTACATCTTTACAGTTTTTTGTGTTCTTTGGTTTGACCGTCTTTGTTCCTGATTTTGCTCCACAAACTCTCCTTATTTAAATTTTTTTCCATTACGTTGTTTCTCTTAAGAGTCTCTTCATTCTTTACTGTGGCCTCTGAAGAATGTGGTCACAGGTGATTGGAAAGGTAAGCGAGAGGTGTGCCATGCTCTCACTGGGTCAGCTGCCGTTTCAGGCCTCACATTTACACAATGGTACCCGAACGTGTCAAAATCATCACTTTATTATGCAAATAGAAGTTCTGCTATTAATATGTAGATTTTTTTTTTTTGCTGTTATTGTTAGTCAATGGCTCAGTGCTTGCTGAAATATTCTTTATTATGACATAATTGAACTATTAGTTGTTGCTCTTTGCAGCAGCACAGTGAGGCATGGCCTGTAGCAGCTGAGCTTTGCACGCTCTTTCCTATGCTGTGCTTTGAAGGGTGTGTGTGCAGACATGAAACACAGTTTCCACTACATTTTAGGAGTTGTAGTGAATGAAGGGAAAATGCAGTCAACTCTGGCTGATTCCTCTTTTCTTTCTTTCTTGTCATTGTGTCATAATTTCTGTTCCTGTGGCGTCACAGAAGCTCAAGCTTCTTCGTGCAGCAGTGGAGGTATGGACGGATGTGAGAGACCTGTCCTCCAGCCCCTCCAACCCTTTAAAAAACTCTGTTTGCCCCCTCCCCTCTTGTTTATCCTTAACTGATGTCTTACTTTCAATTCAAGGGACCATAAGGCCTTGCATTCCTCCTCAGATTAATTTATAACTAGTAGCCACCAGAGCTGATAACTTAGATGAGTGCAGCTCAAAATGTGTGCCTTCTTTAAGGCAAAGTTTATCCATTACATCCCGTTTATCTAACGATGAAATTTAGAACAAGTAATGGACTTTTGATGATTCGTTTGATACCGCCTTAATTACTAAAGAGAAAATTACAAGAACTGGGTGCCCTAGTTGTATTTTATTTTTATCATTTTTCCATCAGAATTATGTCAGATTATTCAATCATTTTATTTTCTTTAATTAGTAGAGTTTAACTAAAACTGGTTGCTTTTCTGCAGTTCAACCCATCTTTTAGGCATAATTAAAAACATTTTAATAGTATTAGTCTCTGCAATTACTCTACTTTAAAGTTACTATTAGGTCACTTTAACAATAACTTGGACTGATGTAGCCTCTGCCAAGAATAAGTATTAACACTATATCTGGCAGCAACACGCAGTGGTAGTGATGAATTAAAAATAAAGTAGACTGCTAAAATTTGGATGTTTGATGTCAAACACATCAGAATTTTCTTATTTTTATTGTGTTGAAAACGGGAGTGTGGTCCTAGTGGTGAGAGCAGGGTGTTGGGGTCGGGGAGAGGCTGCGAAGGTCACCAGTTTAAAGTCAGATGATGGCTTTTTGCTCTCCGGCGCCTCTGAGTGAGCAGTCCATTATGCAAAGGAAAACATTCCCCAATGTAGGACAGCTAAGGGTTATTAAAAGAATGGGATTTTGGACTTTCATTCTAATTTTGAAAGTATCTAAACTGACTGGGATCTAGAGCTGGGTAATAAAGCTTAAAACTAAAATCTTCATACCAAATCCAATTAATCTTTATTATTTTATTTGTTTTTAAATCCTCTCCTTTAGTTGCATGATTTTTATTAAATGATAGAATGATTATTTATTTATTACCTCTAATTTCAAACATTTCTTCTGGGAGTTGACCTAAATTCAAAGCGCAGCGAAGTCCAAGCTGTGAAACATGCCAAAAAAAAATCTGCATATGTAGGAAAAAAAGGTGTTCTCGTTCAGCCGTACTGGAAGCGTATGTGAAGAGTCACATTTTTGAAATGCCATAGGTGTTAAGCTTATTGTACATGAACATTTAAAAGCTTTTGGGTTTTTTTCCCCCAGTGTTTGGTTACATTTGCTGCATCTGGTGAAGTTTTGGTTGTGTAACATTTGAAAAGTTCTGTCTATTGTGTGTTTGGCATGGTAGAGTCTTTATCGTTTTTTTCCTAAATCCACTAATTTAATAAACTGCAGGACTAAACAAAAAGCTCTTGTTCACCGTTGTGTCATAAAAATAATCTACCAAAAGTTTTAACCTAAATTACTGTAGGTCAGTGATGAGATCTGTTTAAAGGGGGATGAAACCGATTCTGTAGGAACAAATGAAATATAAGCTCTGAGTCGTGTTTGTTTCCCCTGCTGACTCAGCCTGAGCCCCCTCAACCCCCCCCTGAGTGGATAAACTGAGGTAAACTCCTGATGTTCTGCAAAAAATTAGAAACATCTGGGGGTGACTGGACTTTGTTTAGCAAAATGTCTCATCATTGATGTCTTTCAAGTTGCTGTGTGTTTAAATGTCATTGTGAAATGGTTTGCAGTTTTGTGCCGTGTGATTTTTCTCCGCGTGTCCTCCGACAGAGTTCCCTTCTTGTTCTGTTTGCTAACACTACCAGTGCTGCAGTTTCCCTAACTTACCTTGACCCATCTGTTTAAAAACTGGTTTTGTTTCTCTTAAACCAGTTTTGATTTGAATCTTTGCTTGTTTTTGTTTTTTTCCAACCAGCCAAAGCAACCACACTGTTCAGCAAACACACCAAGGCCATCGTCTGGGGAATGCAGACACGTGCCGTGCAGGGCATGCTGGATTTTGACTACGTGTGCTCGCGAGACCAACCCTCTGTGGCGGCCATTGTGTACCCTTTTACGTAGGTTTACCCACATACTCAAAGTTAAATTTCATTTGAGTGGATTTTTTTTTTTTTTGGCCTTCAGACTTCAAAGTTTTGGTCATCTTGTTTTTACATGCTATCAACATGTAAAATAAAACACATTTTAATTAAATCAATGCAAAAGAAAGGAAGAAATGCTTTTGATCAGGAAAAAGCAACAAAAAAGTAAAAGGGGCTCAAATTTTTCATGGGTTAGAATAAACTAGCTATTTTAAATAAATGCTTTAAGGAAATTTTATAGTAAATGAAAAGATTAGATCTATTTTTTTTATAAATGTATAAAAATAAATACAAATGCAAAACCTGATGCTTCCAAGGATCATAGAAATGTAGGAAATATTGAATAAATTAGAGGAAGCTAGCTGTTTCATTGCATTGTTTAGGTTTAATGGTATAAGATGTATAAATATTAGATATATTTGAATTGAATTCTTTGCCTCAATCTATGTTCCTTATTTTAACAGAAAAGTCTGACAAATGGATTTACTATAATTTCTTTAAATTGGCTAAAGCAGGATAATTTATTAACTTTCAGTTTTACATCGAGAGTCAATGTGAGAAAATCTTAGCACTGCTCATCTAAAACATCCACCCCTGTGGAAAAGTGTAAACCAATAAGCACTGCCTTATTTAGTTATTTTTATTTTCATAAGTTATCTGTTTGACTTTATTTTGATCTGTTTTGCATTTCTTAGTGGAGATCATAAGCAGAAGTTCTATTGGGGCCACAAAGAGATCCTGCTGCCCGTCTACAAGAACATGGCTGATGCCATGAAAAAGCACCCCGAGGTCGACGTCATGATCAGCTTCGCTTCACTGCGTTCAGCTTACGACAGCACACTGGAGGCCATGCAGTACCCACAGGTACCACAAGAACCTGTAGGTAACCAAAACATTCAGACTGACGGGCATCGATCTTAGCTATCCATCTGCTGATGTTTCAGGTTCATACCATTGCCATCATAGCCGAGGGCATCCCAGAGGCTCAGACCAGGAAGCTGATAAAGATTGCCGATGAGAAAGGCGTCACCATCATCGGACCTGCAACGGTACGACGATTAAAAAAAAAACAACAAACATGCCTGTTTAAAAAAACGACAGAGTGTGGTGTGGGAATGTCTGAAATATTACTTTTAACTTTAGGCCTCAAAAATGTTAAATATTTTTAGATTTCAATCATTGGTCTTGTTTTGTTTTTCTCTTCCATAAGGTTTGGGGGTTTTTTTATTCAGTTTTTTTAACTATAATAATTTATAATAATTTAATAACTAAGTATTATTTATTTTAGAATTCTCATTAAACTCCCAGAAACTCTTATAGAGCTGCCATGTTATTTTATGCCATCTCAGGTTGGAGGGATCAAGCCAGGTTGTTTTAAGATTGGTAACACAGGTGGCATGCTAGACAACATCCTGGCGTCCAAACTGTACCGTCCAGGCAGCGTGGCGTATGTGTCGCGATCTGGAGGCATGTCCAACGAACTGAACAACATCATCTCCCGCACCACTGATGGCGTCTATGAAGGTGTAGCCATCGGAGGAGACAGGTACAAGCATCTCCTTTAAAAATTGTTTCCTCAAGCCTGACGATCCTGTTGAAACTTGATGTAGAACTAATTTTTTTTGTTATTTTTTTTTTATGCCAGATATCCAGGTACCACTTTCATGGACCATGTTCTTCGCTACCAAGACACTCCAGGGATTAAGATGATAGTGGTGCTTGGAGAGGTGAGTCACCCTACCTAGGCCTCTCCCATTTTTTGTGACGGCCTCTTATTTCCATGTTCTGTCTCTGACCCTCAGATCGGAGGCACAGATGAGTACAAAATCTGCCAGGGAATCAAAGAGGGAAGGATCACCAAACCCGTCGTCTGTTGGTGTATTGGAACATGCGCCACAATGTTTGCCTCAGAGGTTTGTTCTAGCTGTATTAGAAAAGGAAGTGGCTTTGGTGTTTACTGCCCAACTCTTGGGGTCACCTGGTAATGCTGCCACCTGCAGGTTCAGTTTGGCCATGCAGGAGCCTGTGCCCACCAGGCCTCAGAGACGGCGGTGGCCAAGAACCAGGCGCTGAGGGAAGCTGGAGCTTTTGTGCCAAAGAGCTTTGATGAGCTGGGGGATGTCATCAAGTAGGAAACTAATCAAATATCACATTTTAACAGTGAATTGTATTATGAGCTTTCACTAATTGTTTCTAATGGAACAGGTCTGTTTATGACGAACTGGTGGCCAAAGGCGTAATCATTCCTGCTCAGGAAGTTCCTCCTCCAACTGTACCTATGGATTATTCCTGGGCTCGGGTAAGAAACGCAGCCTAATGTAATGATTGTTGAACTCACTAGGGGTTAAAATACTTCTTCTATTCTCTGAACCTTTTTCAGGAGTTGGGTCTGATTCGTAAACCAGCCTCCTTCATGACGAGTATCTGTGACGAGCGAGGCCAGGAGCTCATCTACGCTGGCATGGCGATCACAGAGGTGTTCAAAGAGGAGATGGGTATAGGAGGAGTACTGGGTCTGCTCTGGTTCCAGCGCAGGTTAGTGTCATTTAACAGTTTCCTGAGGAATCAATGTTCACATCAGAGTTCCTACAGTCTAGAAAAGCATCCTGGAAAGCATGTTAGAAGAGCATTTTAGAGTAATAAAAGTATGCTGATTGTCTGAACACTTATAACTAAGAAGCTCATGTAGTGTTTTTTTCCTGTTTTATTGGCTTGTACCAGTTTTATTCCACCATCTAGTAAATTCCAGGTTGTGTTCCATCCTCTCATCTTGACCTTTGCCAACTTTTCCCATCAGTTTATCTGGAGTTTCAAATTTTATATCAATTTTTTTTTTTTTTTATTTGGGTTACACTTAAAAAATAGGTCATAGACTAATTTGACTCTGGAATGTTGAACATGATTTTTTTGTGTTTTTTGCTTCTTTTCTCTACAGGTTGCCACGCTATGCCTGCCAGTTCATCGAGATGTGTCTGATGGTAACTGCCGATCACGGACCTGCCGTTTCCGGTGCTCACAACACAATCGTCTGTGCTCGTGCTGGCAAAGACCTGATCTCCAGCCTCACGTCCGGCCTGCTTACCATCGTCAGTGCTGCTTGCATACAATCTGTCTCTAAATAAGATGACTGAAATAGTTTAACTTGAAATGTGTCACAAGCAATTGCTCGTACAGTTTTTCACTGATTACCTTTCTTTCCAGCTTATATCTGTGCTTTAATTACATGCTTCAGGGGGACCGCTTTGGAGGCGCTCTGGATGCTGCAGCAAAGCAGTTCAGCAAGGCGTTTGACAGCGGCATGCTGCCCATGGACTTTGTTAACAAGATGAAGAAGGATGGAAAGCTGATCATGGGCATTGGGCACAGGGTCAAATCAGTAAGCAACATGCATTGTTAACGATCCCTTTGAGGAGAATAAGACCATCCTGAGTACAGAAAAGGATACAGTTGAATGCTTCAAACAGAAGGCGACTGAATGTTCGCTTTGTTTTCAGATCAATAATCCAGACATGAGAGTGCAGATACTGAAGGACTTTGTTAAGCAACACTTTCCATCAACCCAGCTGCTAGACTACGCCCTAGAAGTGGAGAAGATCACAACATCCAAGGTACCCCAGCAAGACATCTCAATAAAAGTCACTGGATTTATTAAGGGAAGAGAAAAGTCATGACTCGGACTTACAAAAATAAGTGCCAGAAAAATGTCATGTCCTAAACTGGCTAAATATGTTGAGTTTAGCACAGGTTGAAAAGTTAGTCTCCTAATTAACGGAAAATGCCTATCCAGCATCATAAAGCATAGGCAGGTATAGGTTGGATGCTGTGCTTGTTTTTTTACATCTTGTGTCACAAACTGAAGTGGCTCTAGCTATTTTGACTCATTAAATATCTTTTATGGCTTAATGATGCTTATAAAATTATTTTCACAATATATCTGGTGTAATGCACATTAATTTAAGAAATTGAACAGAAGACAGTTGAGTAATTAATAAACGTCTTAAAAACTTCTGTTTTCTGGTATTTGTTTTAAAGTTAATTGTTATTAAATATTTTTTGATTCAAAAACCATGCTTTCCATTATCAAAAAAGGTAGTTTATTATTACAAAGTTTATCATTATTATAATGATGTGACTCTAATTAGAACATTTCAGATACAACTATTCAGAGAATTGGATGCTTTTAGCTTTAAAGCTATTTAAACCTTTAAAAGTTTTTACTGTAATATTTGTTATATTTATCTCTAAAAAAAATCATAATTTTTATGCCTTTCAGAAACCCAACTTGATCCTAAACGTAGACGGTTTTATTGGTGTTTCCTTTGTGGACCTGCTTAGAACCTGCGGAGGCTTCACACGGTAAGAGAAGACGATCGGGGGTTGAACCAGAGAAAAATAGTGTGCAACGTAGCAGAAAGTAATGCCTGCATATTATTACAAGGACACATTTCGGTTTACATCATTTTTTTTTGGTGTAATGCAGGGTTTCTATCAAAGCTGAGTCATTTATGTGCCAGAGGCCCTGCATGAAAATGATGCAAAAGGTTTCTAACGATATGAAGACATTCATTAGTCGGCAATATTAATTTTTTCTTGAAGATGTGTTTATACTGAAATGTTTTATTAAGCCCTTGTTGATTTGCATTTTGTATTACTTAAAGGGTGAGTTACGCTATTATACTAAAAATAATCAAGGTTCTAGAAGTAAAAGGCAATTTGAACATAAATTCATCTTTTAAGTCTTTTTACATTGAACATGCATTAGGGGTGTAAATCACATCCATCATGGCGATTCGATTCAGAATCGATTTCCTGACCCAACGATTCAATTATTTTCGATACTCAAGAATGCACTTCGATTTGATTAATTGGTTCTTTACACCTTACAGGCTAGACAATGTTTCACATTTGAAATAAATCAATGAAACCTGTAATATCGTTAAGCATTTTTTTTGAGAAACCACATCAAATAACAGAAGTAGTGAAGTTGTACTCCCCCTTTTCCTACTAATACCTCATTCACTGAAAAATAATACCCCAGCGTTATAGATTCTGCAAGGCTTTGCATCAAAAAGTACTGCACAAAATCAGTGCAATGAGTGCAGTGCAATACCTCGGCTCCAGATGTACCCGCCCCTCCACAGACGCGCCGCTGCACCTCTCCCAAATTGTAGCTGACCGCAGACAGTGCTGCAGACAGGAAGCCGGCTTGTTTTGTTTTTATTACTGAGATTGCGGAAAACAACTCGTGAAGTTTGACCCGCTAGAAGAGTGAGGTGCGCGAGAACGCTGGGACCCTTTTTCCACCTGGATCTCCGCTCTTTTTAGACCTCATGTCGCTCCCTTGTCTGACTAAACTCGCCCCCACTTCCTCACCGCCTCGGCCGTATCTAGACCCAAAGCGTGTAGCACAGACCACGCTTCCATATTGAGCATAAATAAAAAATGTCTGTGTCAAGCTCACTGCAACACACTGCTGTAAGAGTATAACCAGGAAGCGAGGTAGGAGGGCAAAATAGGTTTAGCGCCACCGCAGCACTGGAGGGAGAATTACGTCCAGGAGCAAATGGATAAAAATAGACCGGAGGAAAAAAAAAAAACATGAATCGATTCTCTTGCGGACGTATCGATGCATCGAATCGTCCGCTGTTGGATCGATGCATCGATACAAAACGATTATTATTTACTCCCCTAACACGCATACTGTGGAGAGAAAAATTTCAAACGCGTTATTTTTAAAAGATGCAGAATGTCTACATGGCTCATCTTTACATGACATTATCAGTGACCCCTCACACCCCCCCACCATGGAGCATTCGCTGAAGGACCAGCAGGTTCTGCAACAGCTTTTCCCCTTCTGCCATCAAAATGTTGAACTGTTGAAAACTCATCATATTTGCACTACATGGCTTATTGTTTTGCTGGTTTTCTTAATCCCTTTAAAAAGAACAAAACTCAATGTTCTACTGCATTTTGCACTGTATTGAACCTTTCCATATCAATGCCTTTTTGCACCTTTTGACTTTAAACTGTTTTTTCTTTTCTCATACACTCTACATTCTGGAACACTGATGCACTTTATGAATAGTAATGTTCATTTCACTGCTGTAAGCTGCTAATTCGTTGAAAAGCTGTATGCATTGAAAAAATCATGTTGTATGCACTCTGTGTATCCAATATGACAGTTTTTTTTGTCTTTTTGCTGTGCTGTTTCTCACCTGAATGTTAAACTGTCTTCAGGGATGAAGCGGACGAGTTTGTGGAAATCGGTGCTCTGAATGGAATCTTTGTTCTGGGACGTAGTATGGGCTTTATCGGTGAGTCTCATTAAAACGCTGCCATGATTCAAACTATCCCATTTATTTAAAACAGGATGATGAACAGTTTTTCTTTTACATTATTAGGGCATTACCTGGATCAGAAGAGGCTGAAACAGGGTCTCTACCGCCATCCGTGGGATGACATCTCCTATGTGCTCCCTGAACACATGTCCATGTAAACATGTTAACTTGAAGGGGTCTCTGCTTGGAGGCTTGGTCTGTGTTAACGGCGGCCGTCTCCTGTAATGACAGCTGCTGTCATGGTACTCACTGTTTCAGAGATCCTGTTAGACTTTTTCATTTTACTTTTTCAGAAGGGAAAAAAGGGGAAGGATATTTTAAGATTTAGTTTTTGAGATATTTTACAAATTTAGACATGTAACTTATTAATTTTTTGGGGGGGGGTGAGAGAGAAAAGGCCAAACCAATGCATGGTACAGAAATCAATAGACTCTTAATATGAAGTAAAATTTCACAGTCTGGATAGATAGGCTGCATGGACGGTTGAAAATATTAGATCAGCTCCAGCTCAGCAATACAGTAACCCTTTTTATACTACTTATGCACATTAACCATCATTAACTGTAATTTGTTTGTCTGTCAGGCTTTTAAAAAATGCTCAATTGAGCTTTTTTTTTTTGTTGTTTTTGTTTTTTAAGCACCAAACCTTGGCTACAAATCCAATTTTTAATCTTCTCTGGATTTGCTACCACTATTCAAACCAAAGGCAGTGTGGTCAAATGTTTTTGTTAAAACAGTGTACATATACCATCTGTATTAAAAGTGAAACACCAGTATGAAATAAGGGAATTAAACATGGGGAAGAGTTAAAATGATCTGCTCTGATTTCCTGAACATTTACGTTTACAGCCTGATCTGTCCTTGTTCTTGCTTTACTTGTTTTGCCGTTCTGAATTATTTTCTTTTCCCTTCTCGGAGGACTCCACAGCTCTTCCTTTTTGTGACTATTTTATTCATGATTGAGTCCTTTAGATACCTTTTTAGGCGAGGGACTGAAAGAAGGGGGAAAAAAAAGCCTTACTTGTGGAAGTTCTCACACATAAGAGGTCAGTTATGCAAAGACATCCAACCGAGTTCTGACCAGTCTGTAACCCTCTGTAACGCCTGCTGTGTTTGGTCTTTATTCTGCTTATTTTATTTCACTGTGAAAAGTGCTTTGTTTTTTTGTAATATGCTGACACCTAGTGGAAAAATAATAAAGAACTTATTTTAAATTCATTTGTATTTATTTATTTTTTTTTCATGCAATCAATAAGGTATCAGTTTAGAGCCGTTCAAAATAGATTGGTTAGAAGGTGACAACTCGATAAGAACCTGCAATTAATTAATTAACCCCTGAATGATGGAGGATTTAATATTTTAGACAAGTTTTCTTAATGTAATGCTAAAGGGGATTATGGCATTACATCTTAATCTTGGAATACAGAGGCCTTCTAGGTTAAAGGGGAATATACAATCCCTTTACTCTGTGGGATCTATGGGTCCAATAAAGCCTCCAGAAGGAGGCAAAGCTTTAACCTAGATAGATGGCTTTTTACAGACTTATTATTCATATGTTAATTAATATTAATAAAATGTACCATGCAACTGGGGTAGGATAACAATTTGCATTTTTGTTTAAGTAAATGTTTCCTTTCTACTGTATTCATGTTGAGCAGTTTTCTGCAATGATTTCAAATATATTGCATCAGGTATTTATAGTTCCTAAACCTCTTCAATTGTCACGTTAAAAACACACATTTGTAACATTTGTAGTGCGGTGTTGGGTTGTAGATCAACACAATGAAGTAGAGGAATTTCAGCTTTAAGGAAAATTATGCTTTTGTTTTTGTCATAAAAGTGCAAAGAGGATTTGATTTATTTATTTATTTTTTTTAAATGCCACTGCACCTTCAGAGGTCACCCAATTCAGAGATGGAAGCAGCATTTGAGAACTTCCATCTCTAAATACATCAGGGCTTTGGAGGCCATTGTGGTGAGATATATTTGCCTCTTTAGAAGGAATTTAATTAACCAAAAGCATTGTAATGAAAAAAAGAACAGTCCAGCCACACTGCTCCATGGGCGCTGCACAATGGCAACTAACTGCACCCCAAGGGGATGGGTCAAATGCAGAGAGTTAATTTCATTGCTCTGTCCTTGTTAAAGTATAATGACAATAGAAGTTGAATTCTTTTCTAATGCACCAACATTGCCCAATCATGTGATCTCACTGGCTTTAGCTGTTTTGCAAAGAGGAATTGTTAAGTTTCCCCCTCTGCAGCAAGAGGAGGCTCTACAAATATATAAATATAAACTTATCAGATATTTGTATAATGGTATTCTTCAATTTCACATCTATAGTTTGTGTTGGTCAAGCATATATATTATTAAAATTAACTTAATTTTTTTAATAATACAAAAGGAGTATCTAGATATAATTTTATTTGAAATTAAAAATTAAACATGAAATAAGCAATCAGTGTACCTTTGGTCAATATTCTTGTTCACATCATTAAGAAATAAATGCCAATATCTTTATTTTGTTTTGCTCAGTATGTTTAATCTAAAAAAAATGTTTTTATTCCGTTCTGACCACTATAATCTGGATCATAATAAACAGAGATGTTGTGTCTTAGCAATGATGGTTTGTTTCAAAACAAAAAACGCTCCAAAGTCCATGTTGGTTGGGTCGCAGCTGTAATGCGCATGCGCCAAAGGAACCGGTGGATCCAGAAAGGTAAACTTCACCGAAACCAGGACGTGTTGTTGAAGCTTTTGCTACATTTTTGATATAGAAGGCGGCATTATTTTTACAGAAGGTACGTGGGGTTTCTTTTGTGTGAAAATAATATAAATAAATATAAATCTGGTAAAGAGAATCCAGTATTTGGGATATTGTTGGAGACGGAAGGGAGGGTTGTTGTTTTTCATGATCTCTGATCTAACCCTGCATGACCTGTTTTAGTTGCTCTAATGATTTCCTACTGAAGATAGTGAAGTGTTTCAATCTTTCTTAGAGTTTTTGCGTCGGGATGGCAGGAGCGGCGGAGGAGAGCAGCTGGAGCGGCGGATGCGCGCAGGCAGCGCCGCTGATGGCCGCAGGTGACGGAGAACCAGAGGAGGCCGAGGAGTTCACCTGCCCGGCCTACTGCTGCCAGCTCTCCCGGCGGCAGAACGAGCAGAGGAAGGCGGGCCTGTTTTGCGACCTGACCCTGGTCTTTAGCTCCAGGGGCGCATCCAGCGGGGAGAGGCACCTCACCTTACCTGCCCACCGCTGCGTCCTGTCCGCCGCATCGCAGTACTTCGAGCTGCTGCTGGGAGGACAGTTCTCCGAGTCCCAGACCGGGAGGGTGGAGCTCAGGGAGTGGAGCTCCGCGGCGGGGCCGGACCCGGAGACCGTGGAGGCCGTCATACACTTCATGTACACCGGATCGGTCAGGGTGACCAATGCAAATGTGCATGATGTGCTGGAACTGGCTGACAGGTTGGTCCGCGATCATTTACCTTCCTGGGGTCTTTAATCTAAAGAATAGGGGCCAAAAGGGCCCAGTATAAATTATCCTGGCATCTGTTAGAGCCTCTGTACTGAAATACACACAGCCAGGGGCGGAGCTAGATGGGGGGCCAGAGGTGGCCATGGCCACCATTAGCCACCCCTGTGGCCACCCCTACCATTTTTTTTTTTTTTTTTATTTTTTTTGCCCTCTAATACAGATGGTGGCAGCAGTAATCAAGAGGTTAAGAGTTTAAACTTATTAAACATTTAAATTTTTCATATATTAATAGTAGCTTGACAATTAAAATGGTGTGGTTAATTATGCACATCAAAATACTAACATTAAAGTTTATATATACAGAATTTATGCTCTTTTAAGACCCTAATTTTGTGTTATATGGGGTAAAGAGAAAATTCGGTGAAATCATAGATAAATAACTACTTTAATAATAACTTAAAAATCCGTCATATTAATGATATGCAGAACAATTTTAGATAAAAGTAGGTAAGTAATGACAGTGGAAAAGATGTTTCCCCCAGACATTTTGTCCACTATACCTTTTAGACAGCATGGATGTTTAAATATATGCATCTATTTTTAATCAAAAGGCTGTAGGAAAGTATAGTTTGCCTTTACTTAGAAAATATGGATGTTGTGCTCGTTCCTGTTGGAACAGTGTGGATGGACCCTGAGGTTCTGGCGCCTATCCGCTTTTGGCCATCCCTCAGTTTACATTGGTTTTTGACTGGCAACCCAGATTAAATTTATCTTTCTGTACTGAAAATACACACAGCAAAAAGTTTAACATAAGTAGGTCAATATTATTTAAATGGAGGGCATTGTTCCTTCATTTAAAGAGGTAATTTGCAGATGGGATAAAATGATTTCTATTTAAAGTAAGAAAAAAAATCTCAAATCTTATTTCAAGAACATATCTAATTATTTCAAGAGCAGAAATACTAATTTCTTTGTCAGATCATTTTATATGCCTGCTGAAATTTAGAGCTGACAAGCTTATGCTGAGAAGATTTTTACTAAATCAATGTCTTATGATGATAAGAGATGACGGAAGAATCTGTAACTGATTTGTCCTTTGGACCAATTTAATGTTTTGCCTTGATTGTTTACTTTTAACAGTTATTTAGAAATTACAGTCAGCTTTAAGCTTCAGTAATATCAAGTTGGAATCATAGTTCTCATCTGCTTGAATGGGAGTCTGCAACCTGCAACCATGGCTCACTTAATATATTATCTATATATTATCACCAGGGTTAATCAGCCAATCAGAAATGTTTTTAGGACATTAATTCTTTGTTTTTTATTTCATCCAAGATTCATTCTGATCCTTTTAAAGACATATTTGCAAAGAGACTTACCTAAAGCCGTTTAATTATCAATATATTACAAGTTAAAGTAGATGGAGAAATATTTCTATTTTTAGCTGGTTGGATTGAGTTTTATAACAAATGATCCCACACTTTGATTAACTAAAGTATTAAGAATGCTAAAGATCACATATAGTGAGAAGCACAACAGTACATGTCAAGACAGCGAAGAGTTATTAACAAATTTAAATGTAATCTCTGTCTATGATAAAGAGCCTATATTCGTTCTATTAAAGGAGTCTTTTAGTGTTGACCATTAATACTTATTTTAACAAGTTCTGCATCAATGGGCTTTATGCACAACTCCACTACTTCCTGAACTTAAGGCATCAATTTTGTTTCCTGACTTTCATCAATGGATTGACTGATTAATTCAGGTTTTTTCTGGCCACAGTTACTGAGGCTAGGCACACCTGGATTAATCAGTTCATCTTGCAGAAAAACAAAGGAAATGAAGAAGATGTGTTAATTTCAGGAAGTCATAGAGCTGTGCATGAAACCCACTGATTAGTTTTACAATTAGATAATTACTCGGGCGATAAATATTGAAATTGTTAAAAAGTTGTATTTTTTTCCTTCCTTTAGGTTCCTTTTGGGTCAGCTAAAGAACTTCTGTGCAGACTTCCTAGTGAAGAAGTTGAGTCTATCCAACTGTGTAGCCGTGCACAGCCTGGCACACATGTACAGTCTGAATGAACTCGCCCTGGAAGCTGCAGAGAAGATCAGAAGAAACTTCCACAGAGTTATTCGCAACGAGGAATTCTACACTTTACCGTTCCACCTAGTGCGAGACTGGCTGTTGGATTCTGAAATCACAGTGGACTCTGAGCTGGAGCTGTTTGAAGCGATCGTGAAATGGGTTCACCAAAACCCGGAGGAAAGGGAGCGGTATTTTGAGGAGCTGTTTAAGCTCGTTAGGCTTCCTCAGATTCCTCCTACTGACCTGACGCGTTTGGTTAGAAAGGAGCCTTTAGTCGCAAACAGCTCGGTGTGTCAGCAGCTGGTTGTCGATGCGCTGGAGTATCATGCTGTTTGCTCCGAGAGCGTCAAATCGGGTAACTTGGATCCATCTACCTTGTACATGGCAGCCATCCACCCACGTCTTGGTGAGAACATGGATGTGATCATGGTGATCGGGGGTGTCTCAGAGGGCGGGGAATACCTCAGCGAATGTGTCGGCTACTTTGTCGCAGAGGATCGTTGGGTCAATCTGCCCCACATTCACAACCATCTGGACGGTCACGCCGTCGCGGTTGCAGGGGGCAACGTTTATGTGGCGGGCTCCATGGAGCCAGGCTTCGCAAAGATGGTGGAACGATACAACACAAGCCTCAACTGTTGGGAGGATGTCAGCAGCTTGACCACGCGAAAGCACTCCTTTGGCCTGACGTGCGTCAGAGATGTCCTCTACGGTATTGGCGGTCATGGTAACTTCAGTCCAGGCTTTAAGGATGTAACAGTCTATAAACCAGAGCAGGACGAATGGATCAGCCTTGAGCCAGCGCCAAAGATCCTACGAGATGTAAAAACAGTGAGCGTAGATGATCGCTATGTGTATGTGATGGCCAGGACCCCTGAAGACATAGACCACGATGATGGACTGAGCACTGTGACCATGTGCTATGATACGGAGAGTCTCAGGTGGCAGGAGGTGCACTCATTACCTCTGATTGATAACTACTGTATCTTTCAAATGGCCGTCTCATCCTCAACCTTCTACCACACCGCTTCCTGCTGCCCCAAAAGCTACAAGGTAACATTTGAGACCGCTCAGCAGAAAGTGAGTAGAACAATCCCAGAGGAGATCCTCGACAGCCTCCCCTCAGAAGTTCTCGGCATGGAAGGAGCCGCCATCTGCTTCCTGGGTGAGGATGTCTTCGTCATCGGCGGGTGGAGGAACAGCGGCAACTTGGACAGGCAGTACCGCAAGGAGGCGTACCGTTACTGCGCAGAGAAGAAGCGCTGGACGCTGCTGCCGCCCCTACCCCAGCCGCGCTGCCGGGCGGCGGCCTGCCACGTCCGCATTCCATACAGATACCTTCGAGGCAACCAGCGCTTCCCCATGCCACAGAACCTGGCTCGCCAACGAGACCGAATGCAGCATATGCAGCAGCTCCAACGACGCACACTCAGCCTGCGGAGACAGATGCACTCTCAGATTGAATGCTAATGAAGGATTAAAGATGCACAGGAAAACAAGCACTTTTTCTGCAGATTTGTGCCTTCTTATTTGTTGTTGTTATAATGGAGGTTTAAGGTGTACCTGGAGCTGGCTTGAAATGTAGGAAATTACTGTTCAGACTCAAGATTTAAAGTTAAACTAATTTATTTGGGTTATCTGATCGAATCCATTTCTTTGTTAAGGGTTAGGGTTTATTTGTTTCCTTTACTTTATCACTGCTTATTCGTTTAATCACTACAGACAGGATAAATTAAAATCTTAATTAAAGAGTTAAGTAATGACAGTTGCAGACATAAGTGTGGATGAATCATGATTTGGTTTGGTCTAATTTTTTATAGAAATGATAGAAAAAAGAAAAGCTGAAATATTTTTGTCATGTTCTTTAATTTTCTTAATTTCACAAAGATTTTTCACTATTAAAGCTGTTTCCATTATTCTGAAATTGTTTTTGTTGTTGATGAATATGAATTGAACTTGCTTGTGTCTAACCTTGCTTTAGAAAAACTATTTTCTTAGTTTGTTGGAATCTATCCAGGGTCATCTCAATAATTAAGAATATTCTTAAAAAGTTGAATTCAGTTACTTATTATCACACCATTAGTATCGGTCATCATGTTCATTTTTCTGCTTGCAGGCAATGATGGATCAAGATTAGAATATATATGTCAGACAAAAAACATTTATAATTAGAAAATGTTTTCTTTTTACAACTCAAAAGTGTATTATCCTAAATGTAGAATTGATTTTAAAAAAGTCTCATTGTAACACATCATCATTTTTACTGATGTGCCTCTAATGTACTCAAAACTTTTTACAATGGTTGCTTCAGCTGCCAAATCAGGAAAATCAGTGATATTTATCACAATATTAAACAATGTATTTTCTAGAAATTAGTAATATAGTGGTCTCATATCATCCAAGTTAAAAGCTTTTTTTTTTTTTATCTAATATTTTTTTATTCTTAAAAGTTTCAGTTTTTTTTTTTTAGATGAATGCTTACAAAAAGTTCACATAGCTTTTTCATTAGATGGGATAGGGGATTAATTTAGGTAAATTAACATTTTTCACAACTATATAACATTTATATTTCCACGAGTCTTCTTTTTCTAGATTTATGCTGACCTAAAAGATATTTGAATTTACTTTTTCAGTATACAGAGAAACAACATTTTTAATGTGCTTATGGAGCAGACGTCGAAAATTATTTTAATTTAAAAAAAAATGTAAAAGATACTTTTAATTGGCTTTGTCAAAAAGAGGAGCAGTTAAAAGTGGTTGTGTTTCTGAACATCTTTATCCCTATAAGCTCTTCTTGTTTTTGGTTTTCTTTTTCCAAGAAGAGCAAATATTCTCATTGGAGAAGAAATTAACTGTTCGAATAATAATATAATGCTGAAATTATTGAATGAAAATCATCTCATGTTCTTCTACTGTTCCTGTAGCTCTGAAGTCAAAAGACTGAAGCTGCTAGAAAAACACTCAGCTAAAATCTGTTTGCATATAATTTGCTTTCTACAGAAGAACATGATGTCATAAGTTTTTGTTTATTTTTACTAGAAAATATACCTCCTCAAAACAAGCTAGCAACACATAAAAGCCACTGGTGACATCACAATAGGCACTTGGAAGTTATTTTGATTACCTCATTTATATCTTATATCTTGTATTTATATCTTAATTCTTTGTAGGTTTTATTCAAATTGCTCCTTAAATGTCTCTCCTTGTATTTTGTGCATCTGCAGCGAAACTTGAGAACTGTACATAATAACAGCATTTATTCCAGAAAATGCAAAGAGGTGGTTTGAGAGGTAGTCCAGAATAGACTGGAATTTCATAACCAAATATCTTGGGTAATAATAGAATCCTATGATGTAGTTATATTTATAATTTTTAAATCCAAACCAGAAGTGCTGCAGGAGCTGCATCTTTTACTGAAAATAATTATCCTTCCTGGTTTCTTTTGCTAAATTTTTAGTAGAAAAAATACTGACCTACATAGTGTTGTTAAAATGTTTTATTTGATTTGCACTTAAGGGATTCTAAAATTACACAAAATTAGATAACAAATGCTATTTTATCAGCAGAGAAAAGAAAATGCCGCTTTGCACTTGGCTTCGGGCCACCCCAGTGCATGCCGGAAGGGAGCCAGCAGAACCACATCATCCGCAAAAAGCAGCAACATAATCTGCTCCTCCCCAAACCAGACCCCATCCAGCACCTCGGCTGCACCTAGAAATCATATTCATAAAGGTTATGAACAGAGGGCAGCCCTATCAGAGTCCAGAATGCACCTTGAACAATGCAAACCAAACTCCTGCAACACTTGTAAAGAAACCTGGTCTGTAGACTTTTGGAAGCATACATAGCCCATTTAATATATTCTATTAACCTAAAGCAATATGCATGGTATGATTGTTACATGTCAGGTACGCCGGTCATTGACCCTGACCAATGCAGCTTACAGTAGAGTCCCTGGACTGACATGTGTATCACTGCCCCTACTTAGTTAGGGACTAATTTCCCACTGGGATTAGCTTCATATTCATAGTAGGCAACTTCTTTGATTTTATTTATTTTGCTCAGGCTACTTGTAAGCGCAAAGCCCGACAAATGATGAAAGGGCAATATTATTGTCATTACTGTTAATGTATAGTAGAAATTTTGCACATCCAGTAATAAAATGTCAAAGGGGATGGTATGGGGGGATGGTCATTTGAGAAGGGGGATGATTTTTATGATGCCAACCCCCCTCAACTTGAGTACTGAACCGGATGGCCCCTAGTAAAGGGCCCCCACAGGGTCCCGCAAGACACATGTTCAAATGCCTTCTCCAGGTCTACAAAACACATGTGAATTGGTTGAACAAAATTCCATGAATCCTTCAGCACCTAGGGTGTAGAGCTGGTCCACGACAGGGACAAAAACCACACTGCTGCTCCTGAAGCTGAGGTTCAACAGTCAGCTGGACTCTCAGGCGCCCTGGCAGAAAAAAAGCTGGTTTTCATTAAGTGATTCCATTAAGTGAGTAGCCAGAAAATGTATTCAAATAAGAGTACTGATAATTTATCATATGTTTAACTAAGTAAAAGTAAAAAAAAAAAGTACAATGTTGTAAAAATACTGCTAAAAAAAGTTTATTTTTTTTATTTTTTTTTTAAGTTAACTCAAGTAAATTTAATTGAGTGGGGTTAGTTACTAC